CACGAGAGGCTCCTACAGCGACTATACTCTTCTCAGCTGCAAGGAGGCGCTCCTCGAGGAGGTCAACGGTGAGCGTGGTGGGGCAAAGGGAGAGGAAGTGGTCCCTGACTGAGCGAAGGGAGTCAGGGAGCCGGGTGACGAGGTAGTAGAGAGTGATGTACATAGGGGGGGGGGGGGTTCTTGGCGCAGAACTCGGCAGGAAGCGCAGCGCGGTAGTGGGTGTCACTAGTGCGGAGGTGCGTAATGAGGTCAGCGACTGTGGCAAAAGCGGCTAGGTCAGGGAACAGGTACGGCAGCATGAGGCGGCTAAGGGCAGCAGTGGCAGGGGAGGAGTAGCGCGCAACAACAGCGTCGTACAGAGTCCTAGCGGTCTTGTACTGGATAAAGTGCGTGCGCTCAGCAGACGGCAGGTGACTACGAATAGCAAGACGGGCAGCAGCATCGCGCGTGGTCCACTGTGAGCGAACAGCACTGTCAGCATCAGCAGCAGATGCAGCAGAGGCGCCAGACGTGAGATAAAAAAGCGAGACTCCGTCCTTGCTATCGCACTGTAGAAACAGTTGCAGATCATCGACCCAGACCTCAAAATCAACTGCCCGACCCTCAGCATCGAAGGAAAGTACATTAGGGGCAGCCATGACAGCAGCAGCAGTAGCAGTAGCAGTAGCAGCAGCGCGACTCGGCAGGGCGGCGCGGCTCGGTAGGGCGGCGCGGCTCGGCAGGGCTGCGCGGCTCGGCAGGGCGGCGCGGGTGCAGTGGTGCGCTTACCAGGGCGGGATCGGGGTAGGGCCGCGGCTGGAAGGGCAGGGCCGAGGCGCGCCGGCAGGTCAGGGCCGCAACGAGGCGGCAGTGAAGGGCGGCGACGCGGGCGCAGGGTAGGGCCGCAGCGACGGCGGCAGTAGGCAGGGCCGCAACAGCGGCAGTAGGAAGGGCCGCGGCGGCGGCAGGCAGGACCGCGACGGCTGCAGGCAGGACCGCGACAGCAGGGCGGCTTCAGGGAGGGCCGCGACGGCAGGGCGGCAGGGCCGCGACAGCCTCAAACAGGGCCGCGACGGCAGGGGCCGCGACGGCAGGGGCCGCGACGGCAGGGGCCGCGACGGCAGGGGCCGCGACGGCAGGGGCTGGACGGCAGGGGCCGCGACGGCAGGGTCGCGACAGCAGGGGCCGCGACGGCAGGGGCCGCGACGGCAGGGGGCGCGACGGCCAGGGGCCGCGACGGCAGGGCCGCGACGGCTCTAGTCAGGGCCGCGACGGCAGGGCAGGCGCACGGGGCGCAAGTAAGGCAGGCGCACTGGGCGCAGGTAAGGCAGGCGCGAGGCGCTCGACAGGGCAGGGAGCGTTTTTCGGGCAGGGCAGAAAAAAAAATATTAAGCGGTGGGCCCTTAAAAAAAAAAAAACGGTCCCACTAGATAACCCGCTCTAAACCATGTGAAGAATGAACGAGGGAATGATGTGGACTAGAACGGAGATGGGTACAGGTGTGAAAACCTAGAAAAGCTGTACCCCATAATGTCCACCCCACTACAGCCTACATAGGCTAGAACATATATGTTTGACAAATTGAGCATCATATTTCCCTCCCCTACGCGCACCAGCAGCAAGGCGTAGCTGAGCGCACAAACCGTACGCTCATGACGAAGGTGCGTGCGTTGATGAAGCAATCAAAGCTTCCGCCAACCTACTGGACCTACGCAATGCATCACACCGTGCAGGTGCACAACCTGTTGTCAACCACGGCCATTACCGGGAACTCATCGCCGCATGTGAAGTGGACGGGAACCAAGGGCGACACATCCATGCTCCGCGTGTGGGGGTGCATGGTGCAGTACCGCCCGCCAACGTCAACTATCGGAAATTTCGCAAGCCGCGCGCGCTGGAAAATTCACCTCGACATCAGCCACGAACACAAGGCGTGGCTCATCCTGGACCTCATGAGCTAGAAGGTCGCAAACGCACATGACGTAATCTTCTACGAGAGGCTCTTTCTCAAGCAATTCCGCGAAGACGAGCAGGCGAACGCGAATCGCGTCTACGCCAATGACGGGCATAGCTACGCCTCACCTGAGGACAAAGCTGCAGCAGCCATTCTGGAGCAAGACACCAGAGGCGAGTTCACAAGAGGCGATCGCCGCAGCGACGACGACGACGACGATTCTCCTGGAGGAGGAGCAGGCGCAGCAGGCGGAAGCGGAAGCGGAAGCGGCAGAGGCGCAGCACCGCCAGCACCACCTGAACCGGAAAGCGACGATGACGATGTGCAGGAAGTTGTCAGAATCCCAACCACTAGACCATTGGGATAAAAGGGCTTGTTAAATAGCGGGTCAGTGCGCCCATAACCCCCCAGGCAAACGCGCCTGTAAACCCCCCTAGGATCAATCGGGGATCTCACAGTGCAGCTCTACTGACACCCCCCCACACTGGGAGGCCCAGGTTTGAGCACAGCGGCAACGGCCTACATGTGCATACACCGAGATTCGAACCCGAGACCGCTCTGATACCATGTAAGAATCCCAACCACTAGACCATTGGGATAAAAGGGCTTGTTAAATAGCGGGTCAGTGCGCCCATAACCGCCCCAGCAAACGCGCCTGTAACCCCCCCTAGGATCGATCGGGGATCTCACAGTGCAGCTCTACTGACAGAAGTCATCCCGCAACACCGCCACGACAGCACCGTCTCTGGACTTCAACTTCTCGGGCTCCACACCGCCACCTCAACGGCACCACGTGTCATCGAGCCGAAGAATCCGCGCCAAGCACTCACGGGACCACACAGCAATGAATGGCGCGACTGCACCAAAAACATCGCGCCGCGGTACTTCTTCGTCAAGGACGAAGTTGACAAGGGCAAGGTTGACCTCACCTATTGCCCGACAGGTGACATGGCAGCTGACTTCCTCACGAAGCGTCTGTCACGTCAGCAGTACCAGCACTGCTCCGAACTCAGCGGAGTAGTCAAGCGGGTCAAGACTCGCTACGGTCAAGAGTGAAGGGGGGTGTTACGAATAGTAATTGATGAAGCATTACTGTGCACTCCTTACCGCAGCAATCGAAGCACGCACTACCGAGGCTGAAGACAAAAAGGCGGGAGTGATGCGAAGGGTCGTACGGTTACGAAGCATCTGGACCGTCGGGCAGATAACATCAGGCAGCAGCAGTGGCGAGGATTCTGCCCGGACAGATTCGTAACCGTCTGGAGTCGCACGGTTGGGTTTCGCTGCAATAAGGGAATGTACCCCTTAGAGTACATGGCTAGCCTAGGTCGATTCGTATTCCCTTGTACTCTTATTTATATTCCTGTATTTGCATGTTTTTATTATCTCAAGCATTTTACATTTAGGGTACATTCCGCTCTGGACATGTCCCAATCGATTCCACCGCTCCGAACCGAACTAAACCAGAGACGCGAAACTTTTGACAATGTTTGAAGCTAGGGTGTAATTCGGTGTAATAAGATGCAGTGCGGTGGAATCGATTGGGACATGTACGATTGGGACATGTCCAGAGCGGAATGTACCCTTACTCTGCTATTGAGGTCAAGGGCCCACCACCATTACTCAAACGTGTGCGAACATTCCTGAGGTGATCCTAGGGATGATCAACGTCTGATCGCAGCAGTTAGTTTGGGTGTACGGCTGAATACGGGGCGTGTGCAAATGACGCGATATAGCCACTGGATTACGCGATGTAGTGTAAAATCAGTTAGGATGAGAAATTTCCTTATACGATACCAACGAAAGTGTGGACGAGAAGCACACCCGAAACAAAATAATAAAAAAATGTTCCAAGGCCTAAAACAACAAGGAATTGGATGACGAGCATGACATTAAATAAGAATGCCACGACGTAGTAGAAATATTCAGATTGGATCTGAATGAAAGCGGGGATGGATGGAGGAAAAGCGAGAAGGACCAGGTGGGTGTTGAACCCATAATCAGATCAGGTTGATTGGAGGGATTGTGCTACTGGTCCTGATATTCGTCAAATGACACACGTTTACCATTCACGGTGACATTCAGCATTTGCTTTATATGTTCGATAGCCAGCATAGAATCGCACATGGGTCGCGGAAAGCGCGAGGCGGAGGGCAATCGGAGCGGTAATGGAGGTCGGGGCAAATCGAAGCGCCACAAGTCGCGATACCTGAACGCTGTGAGCCTTTGGATTTATGTCGCGACGCATTAGTCACCGTAACCGACAGGCGTGTAGCGATGCGTTCTGTGGCGCTGAGACGAATAACGACGTTCATAAGCGACGATCCTCCAGTCGCGTTTCAGTCGCGTTTCAGGCGCGTAGCAGTCGCAAGTCACGGCAGCATCCGTTGCGCGTCGCTGCTATGAGCTCGGCGGCGAGCACGCACGAGTCCGATTCGCCCCACTTCCCCCTTTCCGCTTCCCCTTCCCTTTCCGCTTCCCCGCTTTTCCCTTCCCCCCCGCTCCCCCCCGTCCCACGCACACCTCCGTCTGCCCCCCCTCACACTCGCCTCCTCCTCCCATCGTGTGTTCCCCGCGCCGCCTCCCTTCTCCAGTCCTCACAAGTGCGGCCAGGGCCGCCTCCCTTCTCCAGTTTTCTATCTTTTTCCTCCAGCAGCCTCGCCCGCGTATCTCCATTTCCCATGCACCCAAAACCCGTAACTTCTCGTTGCTTTCTCTCTCTCCTAGTGGCAGCAGGTGGCAGCAGGCAGCAGCAGGCAGGGAGGGGGAGTGCAGGTGAATAATAATATTAATAATAACGTTTCTTCCTTTACTCCTCGCGTGCCCGCCCTGTTGACCCAGATCCAGGTGGCGTGCGGGGGCCATAGTGAATGTTTTGAGACGTCTCAAAATTCAACTTTTATCACAGCGTCGGGTGGCGAGCGGGGGCCATAGTGAATGGCAGCAGGGAGACTGGCGGAACGAGGGAGGGCAGGTAAATTGAAAATTGTTTCTCCCTTCTGCTCCTCCCCATTCGCTCTTCCCACGTCTGCCCCTCTCCTCCTCCCCCATCTTCTCCCCCCCTCAGTGCTCCTGGCTGGTGTCGAGTGTGAATGGCAGGGAGAGGGAGTGCGGGCGAGAGATACTTTTGAGAATTCTCGACATGGCGAGAGATCGCGAACGTGCTCGATGAGGTGAGGCGGCAAGGAGGTGAGGTGAGGCGGCAAGGAGGTGAGGTGAGGCGGCAAGGAGGTGAGGTGAGGCGGCAAGGAGGTGAGGAGAGGGGGAAGGAGGTGAGGTGAGGCGCGCAGGAAAATGATAGAACTTGAATGATCGTGCATGTGTACTGGACAGATTCAAGGTCAAGTGTCACAGACAGTGTATTAAGTTAAAGAGAAAAAAAGCGGTTGTATCTGCTTTTTTAACCAGATCGATTCTTATAAAAAGAGCCATTTGAAACTGTTTAACACTGGGGTCATAACTGGGGTCATAACTGGGGTCATGACTGGGGTCATGTTCCAGGTGGTGTTTTGTTCATGTTTCCCACTGTAGTCATGACTGAAAACAAATTCGGTTTATTTTTTTTTCGCCTTTTTTATCATTTTCTCTTAAGCAATACGTGCTGGATGAGGAAAGGGGGAGGCGCCAAGGAAGTGGGTGGGGTGCGAAGGGGATTGATGTTTGTGCATCATGTGAATCAGGTCGCGAGTCCAACTTAGTCGCGAGTCGTACGCCCGCCTGCCCGTTTTTTATTATTTTCTTACACATGTTCAGGCAAGGCACTCAACCCCTGTTTTTCCCAGGTATTGGCTACTCAGTTGAAGCAGATATGCATTGGCCTCACTGCACCAGAGTGTGTTGACATCACACCCATGATAGAGACCCGGATGCGCATCATGCTGGCTGGAGGGGACTTTTGAGTCGACTCAAAAGTCACCAGATGTGCGTTTGCCTCACTGCACCAACCAGAGTGCGATGACATCACATCACACCCATGATATGATAGAGACCCGGATGCGCATCATGCTGGCTGGAGGGGAGATAGATTATAGATCCAAAACGGGCCCCCATGATAACTTCCTTTGAGACGTTGCTTCTTCTCCTAATTGCTTCTTCTCCTACTTGCTTCTTCTCCTGCCTTCTCACCTGGTCGCCCCACAGTGGTGCAACAAGCTGCCTGCCAGCAAGGTGGAAGGAGAGGGGAAGGCAAGGACTGCGGAAGGTGGCTGGTGAGGTCAGCAAGCTGCTTATCTGACTGAGCTGATGTTGCCTTCTCCCCTGTTCGCCTGAGGTGACTTTTGAGTTGACTCAAAAGTCACCTTGTTACACTGGTGAGGTCAGCAAGCTGCCTATCCGACTGAGCTGATGTTGCTTTCTCCCTTGTTCGCTTGACACACAGTGGCGAGACAAGCTGCTTGCCAGCAAGGTGCAGGGAGAGGGGGAGGCAAGGACTGGGGAAGGCTTATTTGCGGGGATTGGAAGGGGGGTTCGTCTATTGATGACCTGCTGGCGAATCAACAGGTCATCAATGGACGTGCCCCCCTTATGGGGCTGTTTATTGGCAGCACTCAAGAAACAGGTGCGTGTGGTGTGGGGAATGAGGGGGTGTGTTGGTAAGGAGGAAAGAGGTGCGTGGGGCGTGGGGAAAGAGGAGGCTGGCTATTGTGGGAAGGAAAAGGCTGAGTGTTGTGGAAAATGAGTTTGTTGTGGGAAGGAATGAGAATGAGGCTGCTGAAGAGAGGGGCTGGCAGGCATGCAAGATGTTGAAAAGGAAGAAAGTCTGACCTGATGGTGTGTATTCAAGACTCTTGTTTTGTGAAGGTGAACAATGAATGTGTCACTGTCAACCTCCCTCTCTGCCCTGCCCGCCGCCAACCCTTTTCTCACCTCTTCTCTGCAACGCTTTTCGGCTCGTGAGTGTAGACAATCGGCTTGGCGCACCCATATTCCTCCCCTCTTTCACTGCATCCCCTCCCATCTCCCACAAGACTCTCAACTTCGTTGTCACTCACTCATCCTTTATCGCATCCTTTCTCACTCCCCTTCTCCCTCCCTCCCGCCCCTCTCCTTCATTATTTTTATTTCCCCTCTCCTTTCCATTCTTCGCACCTCCCCCTTCACCCCTCCAATTGCTTCTCCCTCCATTTGTCTCTCCGCCTTCGTTCGTGAGAATGCTCAGTAGAAACCTCCATCACCCTCCTCTCCCCCCCTCCTCTCCCCCCCTCTTCTCCCTCATCTCATTCCTTAGCCTCTGTTCGTGAGAAGGAGTCTGGCTGTTCGTGAGAGTGCTTATTGGAAACCCCCGTCACTCTCTTTTTGAGGTTGATTTTGAGAATTCTCAGAATCAACTGCACGGCACTGCTATCGTGAGAATGCTCAGTGGAAAGTGGAAACCCCCGTCACTCCTCCAATCGCCCGTCTCCCTCTCGTTGCCCCTACCGTCCGCGCAAACCGTTGACATCATGCAGCTTTAGTTCGTGAGTGTGGATTCGTGCCAGGCGCTGTTGTTTGTGAAAATGCTTACCAAAAGCCCCCATCGCACTCCCTTTCCCTCCCCTTGCCCCTACCATTCGCGCTCCCCTGGGCATCCTGCAGCCTCAGTTTGTGAGTGTGGACTCCGGGTGCAAGACACTGTTGTTTGTGAAAATGCTTACCAAAAGCCCCCATCGCACTCCCTTTCCCTCCCCTTGCCCCTACCATTCGCGCTCCCCTGGGCATCCTGCAGCCTCAGCTTGTGAGTGTGGACTCCGGGTGCAAGACGCTGTTGTTTGTGAGGATTAGAGAGGATGCCAGCAATGGGAAGAAGGGGGAAGGGTGAACAGGAGGTGGAGGGGGAGGAGAAGGAGAAGGAGGAGGAGAAGGAGGAGGACGAGGGGGCGAAGAACGACAAGAAGGGCGATGGAGACAAGGAGGAGGGGGAGAGAGTGGTGGATCAGCCTCAGGAGAAAGAGGTAGCAGGAGGGAAGGAGGGAGCGAAGGAGAAGCAACGGGGAGGGGAGGAGGAGTCAGCAACTCGGTGGGTGCAGGCCAGTGTGTATGAGGTGGCTTGAGTTGAGGTATGTGATGAGTCAAGGAGGGCGAGTGAGGGGGCAGTGGTGCGGCATGCCAAGGAGACACACACAGAGTTGAGGCATGTGATGAGTCAAGGAGGGCGAGTGAGGGAAGGGGAGGGGATGAGTGCGTGCGTTGGCTGAGGCGGTGTTGGGGCATGCCAAGGAGTCTCAGAATTGGCCACTTGGTGGGTGTTAAGTTATTATAAAGGGCTTACGAAGGAGTCTCAAGGGCATGCTTCCTCTTCATTGTCCAGTTCGCAATCATTGTTATAAAGCCAAGCCAACGAAGGTCTTGATCTTCCCCTTCCCGGTTCAGTTTTCATCCTCGTTATTAACTCGCCGTGCATCCCACTACATGCCCTTTCCTCCCTGCACAGTTCGGGATCATATTTGAGAAGCGAGCCAACGAATGCCTTGAGAGAGCCGGCGTGATCGACACTGTGGCCAAGCTGGTGCCCGCTCCGCATAAAGTGGACCTTTGCAACTCAGTCAAGGCCGTCATGTTGCAATTGGTGAAGGTATGACATGCATCCATGCATTCATGCATGCATCCATGCCCCATGCAGTGTGTTAATGATTCATGGTATCCCAAGCTGGTGCCTGCACTGTATTAAGTGGACTTGCGCAACCCAGACAAGGCCGTCATGCTGCAAGTGGTGAAGGTATGACATGCATCCATGCATTCATGCATGCATCCATGCCCCATGCAGTGTGTTAATGATTCATGGTATCCCAAGCTGGTGCCTGCACTGTATTAAGTGGACCTGCGCAACCCAGACAAGGCCGTCATGCTGCAAGCGGTGAAGGTATGACATGCACGTCTGCCCCATGGTGTATGCTCATTGACCATGGTATGCCAAGCTGGGGCATGTACCCCATATAGTGGATCTTCACAACAACCCAGACAAGACTGTCATGCTGCGAGTGGTGAAGGTACGACATGCATGCATGCCTGATAGTGTATGCTGATTAACCATGGTATGCCAAGCTGGGGTATGTACCCTGTCTCCACAGCCCAGACAAGACCATCATGCTGCGAGTGGTGAGGGTTTGATGTGCATACATGCATGCATGTGCCATACTGTGTTTTTGTCAACCATGGCATGCCAAGCTGTGCCATGTACCCCATATTGTGGGTCTCAACAATGAGGAAAACACCATGATGTTGCAAGCAGTGAAGGTACGACATGCGTGCATACATGCACCTCGTTGTCATGACCATAGTATGCCAAGGTGTTGCCTGTAACCCGTATTGTGGATGTCAGTGCAATGTAGCTGGCTGTGTGTGTATTTTGAGGTGGCGAAATCAGATATGTAGGTGTCAGTTCAGCTGTTGAACGTGGTTTCGTGGTGTAGTTGGTTATCACGTCAGTCTAACACACTGAAAGTCTCCGGTTCAAGTCCGGGCGAAGCCACTTTTTCATGAATTCCTAGCTTTCTCAACTCACGTTTTCCTGTCTCTCAACTGTCCCCCTTTATCTTCCTTTCTCCACTGCCCTCTTTTCACTCAACTCATTCTTCTTGTACAATCTATCCTTCTCATACCCACCATTCCTTTTCTCCATTGCCCTCTTTTCAATCAACTCATTCTCTCAATGTCACCCCTTTCATGTGCTCTCTGATTTACTCTTCCTTTCTCCACTGCCCTCTCCCTCATCAACTCATTCCCCAGACCATCTGTTTCATCTCCAACCTGAAGGCCCTTGCCAAGTACACAATGTATAACCCATACTACTCTTCTCCCCCCACATCCCGCCCCTTCTTTCCCTCCCTCCCTCTCCCCCAGACCATCTGTTTCATCTCTGTCCTCGCCGACTTCAAAGGCCCTTGCCAAGTAGACAATGTTTACCACATATTACTCTTCTTCAACCCCCCCTGCCCCCCCTCCATCCCGCGCCACTCTCTCCCTCCCTCCTCTCCCCCAGACCATCTGTTTCATCTCCATCCTCACCGACTTCAAGGCCCTTGCCAAGTGCAACCTGCGCCAGTTGTGCCTCCCCCAGGAGGAACCCAAGCCCGGTGCTGCCAATGCTTCTGGGAAGGCCAAGCCTGCTGCTGCTGGAGAAGAAAAACCCGATGCTGGTGATGCTAGTGATAGTGATGACGAGGGTGGTGGTAATGCTGCTGGTGATACCACTCAAGCCTGAGACGAGTAACCCAAGCCCGGTGAGGTCAAGCCTGTTGCAGCTGGAGAGGAAAAGGTTGCTGAAGCTAGTGATAGTGATGATGAGGGTGGTAGTAATCCTGGTGAGAAAGACTGAAGATACGGCTCTCTCTCGGTAAGCTTGGAAACAAGGATAACGACGCTTGGCCGATTACCAAATGAGCAGCATCAACCAGGAATGAATCGAGAGCACCACAAATCTATGGCATGCATGTACCGGTACCAATGGGCTGTAATTTTGAGTTGGTTGGACTTTCCTTTGGGTTGGGGGGGGGATCCAGCAGTCCAGATCACCAGCAAAGCTGGCAAAACAAATGCCACATCAGCTTCCCCCAAACCATCCAGGACAGCTCTAAGAAGTGCAAATTTACTTATGGAACAAAACAAGTGCCCCGAGTGAGGATCGAACTCACGACCTTAGGATGGCTCCGCCCAACTGGTTGGGAGTTGGAATGCTATGAGACCTACGCGCTACCGACTGCGCCATCGAGGCTTGTTTCGCCAATCAAAAGTACAGAATTATAAGAAATACAAAGTCAAAATGGTTTGGTTTGTTACTAGTGAAAAAAAACAAACAAACAAATTAGATTGCATTAGCGCAATAATTAGATCTTAGTGTTACTCTAGCATGTGATTTGTTACCGGTAGTAGTAGAATGAGAGTGTCAGGGGGTGTTTGGAGTTGGGGGAAAGGCAGAAGGATAGAGGATCTCAAAGGAGCACTGCTTTTGGACATGCTACCCATAACAGGATGGTTGGAGGAAGCGCATATGGAGGTGGTGTACTTGCTGTAACACCTTGATCTAGAAATTGACTATAGGGAACCTGAAAGGTAGATGAGGGAACTGATAACAGAGAAGCTGGAGAGAGGAGTTAGGCGTGATGTGACGCTGCGAGGTTGGGGGCACGAGCCCATCGGGTAAGACGGTACTAGCAGAACGTTGTGCCAGAAGAGCAATTACACAACAAGTTAGATGGGGTGGAGAATCCATGGAGCAGGATGGTGCAGGAGATACTAGAACTAGTTCGCGTAGGAGCGTCAGTCAAGAAGGGCATGCGCGAGACCCAATGCCCATGCAACAAGGTGGGAGCTGAGCGTAGAGACTGGCCGACACTGGTAGCATATGAAGGCGCAGCCGGATTGTAGATGGAGAATGGGGAACCCGGGGAAGGAATCAAATTATAAGGAGCACATATGTTATATAATATGCGTTCAGCACAGTTGGTGTAGACAACTGCCTGTTGGTGGTGCACCACAAAGCACACTCTCTTGTATATCATAGGTCTTTGCCCTTACTATTGCACCTTATTCTCCTTTCTACTTTCCAGCCTCCCAACTTCCCAAACCCTGACTTAACATGGTATTCAGAGCGTTCCGCTAAAGCCCCCCCTATCCTCCAATGGGCCCACCTTGAGCACTCCGTCGTGGCCCGGTCGCATCCCCCGTCGCCCCCGTTGCGGCCCCCTGTCGTGGCCCATGTCGTGGCCCCCGTTGCGGACTCGTTGCGTCCCCCCCATTGCGCCCCGTCGTGGCCTTTGTCGCGCCCCCCGTCGAACCTATCACGACCCCCATTACGGCCCCTGTCACGGCCCTCGTCCTGGCCCACGTCCCGCCCGCCACGACCCTCGTTGCAGCCCTAGTCGCGCCCGTCGCGGCCCCCGTCAGGGACCGTGCGCCACCCATGCCAGCGAGAGCTAGCTGCGCCAGCCAGCCAGCACCAATCGCACCACCAACGCCAGCCACGCCACCCGTGCCCACGAGCGCCAGCCAGCGCCAACTGCGCTCGCACGTACCGCAAGCCCTACTCGTGCCCTGCCGCGGCTACATGGCGGCCCTGGCGGAGGGGGTGGCGGTCGTGGCTAAGGGGATGGCGGTCGTAATATACTTCGCGCCCGCAGGACCAGCCGCCGCCACCATGCCTTGTCTCCCGTTGTGGAGGGGAGGCTAAAGGGGTGACGGTTATGATAGACGGCGTTGTTAGAAAATATATTTTATATGTATAACTGCATGTAGTTGCAGCTGTAGTGTAGTTATATTGTTTCATATTGGTGGTGTACCTAATGGTGTAATTTGACAGACGTCCCTCATTTCCGCTGCACTCAATCTCTCTCTCTCTCTCTCTCTCTCTCTCTCTCTCTCTCTCTCTCTCTCTCTCTCTCTCTCTCTCTCTCTCTCTCTCTCTATCTCTATCTCTCTCTCTCTCTCTCTCTCTCTCTCTCTCTCTCTCTCTCTCTCTCTCTCTCTCTCTCTCTCTCTCTCTCTCTCCCTCTCTCGAATGGTCCTTGCATTAAGTAAAAGGCACATACGGTTTACAGTTTAACCTCCCCCGTTTTGACCCTAGTGGTCGAACGGGGACTCAATCGGTTGTTGCAGCTGCCCCTCGCTCAAAAGGGGCGAACGATCCTTCCCGGCCGAGCTCGTCCGCCGCCAGGGCCTCGTTGGTCTTCGAGCGGAGAACATTCGCCTGAGCGCGCTGAAGGGTGACGCTTCAGCGCTGGCGGTACTCGGTGAGTAGCTTGGCCACTTCGTAGGAGGTCAGTGCAGCGTTATAGCGGAGTTTTGCCGCTAGCTCAACGCAGGCCCGTAGGTAGGCGTGCACCGCCGGCGAAGGGTAGCCGTAGGTTTCCACCGCCAGTGCGTGGAAGCCCACCCACGCATTCCTGTTAACGTATTTTTCTTCCTTTCTGGCTGCTGCAGCCATTGCTGCCCACCCCGGCGCACGACGCCAATTTTCATCATGGTAGGAGACGAGGTCCGTCACCGTGATGTCACACATCCAAACCTTTCCGGTTACGAGATGACGGATGGTGACATCCACCTTTATGTCCTCAACTAGAGAGTAGAGGTACGTTTCCTTGTGCACCATGAAGCCTGCTTCAGCCCCAATTCGGGCCACTCGTCCCGAAGGGCATGGTGAGTGGCTATCCTCCCCTTTCCTTTCTCGCAGCGCATGAGGTGGTTCGGGAGACGGTCGTCAGGGAAGGTGGTGCGGTAGCGGCAGTCACATCGCCCAGGGACCTGCAGGGGGAGGCCTAGGCGGAAAGCTGCTGCTGTAGAGAGCTGGGAGGGGCCCAAGCGAAGGGCATGTATAAGAGGGATGGCCAGCAGCCAGTCTCTTGCGCTGGGGCCGAGGATTGACTGCATCCGATGGGCGTGGCCAGAGAGGGGGTTTGGGCGCATCCTCCTGGCCTCGTTCAGGACACGGATGTAGCGGTGGGTGTGTACCGCCAAAGAAAGAGCCTGCTGCAGTTTGTGTCCCTTGGGGTCAAGTTTGCCTGATTGTAGGGCCTCCAAGGCCTCTGTGGGGAGGGCCGCTTCCGCAGCTGCAAGGCGCGCGGGGAGGGCAGCAAGTGAGTCTGGGATCGAGTCAGTGAGCGAATGAAGCAGGTGGGTGGTGGCGATGACCGAGGCCAGGTAAGCGTAGCTCCCTTCTGCTGCGGGGTTTGTTAAGCCGAGCACGCCTAGCGTCAACGGCAGCGCCGCCTGCCACCAGATCCGCCTTCTCTCCACCTCGATCCTCGGGGTTGAGATGTGGGCGGCGTCCAGGAACGTGAGGAGCAGTTGTTCCCCCCACGCCAACCATTCCACTTCTGGAAACACCGCCAGTGGGGTTGTCCTAGCCAGGAACGATGCTCGTCGGCCCACACAATGGGTGAGTAGCAGCAAACACAGCTGGGGGTCCATTTGGGACAGGAGTGGGAGGGTTTCAGCTGCCGCCGCTAGTCTCTCCCTAACCAGTGAAGAGCAGCCTGTGACGGTGCCGATGAGGCTCCTTGAATCTGAAGTCCTTCAGTAGATGTGAAGATGCCTGACGGGAGTGTGGACGGGTCTACCGCTGTTGCTGACCATGCTTCGCACTTCTCCAAGTTTTGCACGAGGCCAAGGTTGTTAAGCGCGGCGTGAGGTGTGTGAAGGCCTCGGTGCAGGCTGTGGTTTCGCCCAGGAGGAGATGTCGTCTGCGTATGCAAGCATCACCACCTGCGGGTGAGCTGTCGTCGTGGCAACCAGGCAGGGATGGATGCTGGCCGTGAATAGCAGGGGGCCAAGTGGGTCCCCTTGGCGGACTCCTCTGGCGCTCTGCAGGGGGGCCGCGCCAAAGTCGTGGTCAAGGTGTAGAGAGGAGGGAACCCCATAGGAGAGACGAACTAGAGGCACTAAACTCTCTAGCGCCTCGTTTTTCAACCCATCAAAGACTGCCGCCCTTTCCACCGCATTGGAAGCATTGGTGAGGTCAATCTGCAGTGCCACTGCGCCCGGGTTCACCTCCAGGTAAGTATGCGCCGTATGGATGGCCGCCTTGATCCCTCCAGCGACCGCAACGCCGAACTGCAGGGGGGCGAAGTGAGCTCGTGCTCTTGGGGCCGTTAGGAATAAGGCCGCCTTCGCGATGATGCGCAACAGGCATTCGCCCACAGCGATGGGTCTCATCACACCCTGGGGCTTCGTACATTCTAAATGGCGAGAGGCAGTAAGGAGATCGGCCGCGTCTGCGTTCAGCTTGCCTGCTAGCGCCGTGTTGGTGAGTGCAAGGAAATGGTTGAAGATGTCAAGGTTTCCTAGAGTTGCGTCACGGATGTGCTTGATTGTTGTTCCTGAGGGGCCTGCCCCGACCCCGTTTGGGAGCTTAGCTATGGTTCGCTTGAAGTCGCGCGCTTCAATTGCAGGTACAATCTCAGTAGCAAAAGTGTGTACCCAATCTGGCAGCGCTTGGAGTGCTGGTGGGTGCCTGACTGCTAAGGCCTCGAGCACATCGAGGGAGGCTGGGGAGACCGGCGTCGCCTGGAGGGACTGGAGGTGTCGTTAGTGCAGCTACCGACCCTGCGCTGGTACTTGCCCGCTGGAGGTGTGAGGGCGCTGATCCGACCTCCTCGCCAAGTTCCCGGCTTTCCTACGCTTCAATGCCCCTTTGGTCGCGCCTCCATTTGCACGACGGTGTACCCTCAGCGCGAAGCTCCGACTCTTCCCCCCACCAGCAGCACGAGG